TAATAAATTTAATTAAAGTTTAGAATATTTAATTAGAACATTACTAATACATGTCATTCCCATTAAGAATGGAACGGTGTTATCCGCACTGTTAATATGGTGAGATATTGAATGAGTGTATTTCGCATAATGAGATTATGTGGAACAGGGACACAGACACAATATGAATTTCTAATAATTTCCGTTAAGAATAGAAATTCTAATTGAGTCTACCGATGGTCATATATAGAATGATCTTAATCCTGAGTTCTTAATAGACTCCTATTTATAGATTTGTGTCTTTTGATTTACTCGGTACGGATTCTGAGATCCTGAATCCTATTCCTTGTATTTTGGAGACATGATGAAGTAGGTAGCTGGGAATCTTATTATACGAGATGGAATCCATTCCTTCTTGAGAAAGAAGTAGATAAATAATTCTCTTGAGGGTTGATTCGGTACTTGGACCAGTAGGAGCTCTGATTCATGAATGTGTTTTATGAATCACTGTCCATTAGAGAATCAATGGTACTCAAGGATAAAGATATAATTAGAGAGGTTAACGGATTCTACCTAGCTCTAATTATGAATTATTTATGAAGGATTGATCTATATGCAGTGACTATATCAAATGGACACTTCACAGTTTAGAAGTAATTTATGTCTATAATTTCGAGAGTGCAATTCCAAGTTTATAGTAGAGTAACTATTGGAATTAATAGAATTAATTAATTAATTAAAGTGTTTAATTAATTATTAATTTTATTGAAGCTCGGGATTATAGATCCATTAGTCCCCGCGTCGTTCTTGTAATTCTACCAGACACAAAGGGTAAAATGGGAATTTTAGAATTATAGAATTCTAAAACTCAAAAATAATTGATTGAGAATTAATTATTATTTAAATAATGAGATTATTTATATTTAACTTCGAACACATCTAGATTTATCCATTTAAACTTATTTGATAAGTTGTTCAATTTAGAATTCAAATTACTTTAAGTTTGACTTAAATTCGAATTTGAATTTGAATCAAAATTGGACTACAGGAGAAAGGGTGATTTTCTCTTCATGCTCTATCTGTATTTGGCACCTACCATAGGGATAAGATCACCTAGGTTGGCCACCCATCTTGAGGATAAGGAGTAGGAGACTTTTGTTTCAAAATTCAAATAGGAGATGATTAACAAATTTTATCTTGGAGATAAAGATTAGATTCCTTCTAGGAGTTTGACTTCTACTTTATAAAATGAGAATGATAGAAAATTGTGAGACACAATTTTTGAACAATTTTTTGGCCTAATATTTTATTGTGGCTGAAATTCTCTTATTGTGGAAGGAAAATTTTTTCTCCAAAAATTCAACATCGTGCATGCGTTGGTGTTTCTGAAAATTTGAGTGTTTATTCTAATCCGTTTTGTCTTAGGTGTGCCCACACACACGTCTTCGTGGATTCTAGGAATTGACGTGGAAGACATTGGTTTTCTAAACACAAAGTTTTGGAGCAACGATTGTTCGAGGTCAAAAAACTCAAGTTATCATCTTAATCGGCCGCTAGGTATTATTCCTAATTGAGTTCTTAATAAATAAATTAATGTGATTAATTTATTCGTGCATAAATTAATATAATCTATAGAGTATCTCAAAGGTTTTATGAAAATTTTTGTTATACTTGATCTGCAATCCCCACGCTTCCGCATCTGAATTCGATTCGGAAACCAACAATTGGTATCAGAGCGATCTATAGATGATATTAATTTATGCTCCGATTATGTGATAATCAAAATTAAAATATTAAATATGTGATATTTAATTATGTATGTATGTGATGGGTAGGCACTTGTATTTATGGATGTTTATATTTTATTCATATTGATGAATGTATGGATGGTGGATTTGGTCGTTAATTATATGGTTCTATGGATCACATTAAATTCGTTCAAGTTAAATTATTTGTAATTTTATTCGGGATTAGAATTATTATAATTCTAAGATTTGGGTAGAATTAAGGTTTTGACTTTGAATCAAAAGGAAGCCCGGAAGATCATGTTTGAAGCTGCCCAAAAACAACCTCAGATTTGCCAGACTAGTGGCCATAAAGCAAGCAGCGCGTGCCCAGACAGCGCGCGATCAGACCGTGCGTGGGCGCCCAGACAGCGCGCGGTCAGACCGCACGCGCGCGCCAAGATAGCGCGCGGTTAGACCACGCGCGCACACCCAGGCGCGCGGCTAGTGCCCCAGATGCGGTCAATGGGCCCCAAACGGGCCTGAGGGTTTCCGAATTGGACAACAGGATAGAAGATGATTTTCTCTTCCTTCCCTATCTGAGATTGGCGCCACGCACAGGGATAAAAACCCTAGCATGGCCGGCCACATAGAGATAAGGTAGAGGAGAATTTTTGTTCAAAATTCAAATAGGAGAGAGAGATTTGATTCCTTCTAAAAGTTGGACTTCTACTCTATAAATAAGATATGATGAAAAATTACGCGTGACAATTTTTTGACCTAACTTATTTAGGGCTAGCCGAAATTCCCAAGAGAGAGAGAAGGAAAAATTTTCTTCCCAAAATTTTCACATCATGCATGCGTTGGTGTTTGTGGAAATTCGAGTCTTGTTCCAACCTGATTTTGTCTCGAGTGTGCCCACACACATGTCTACGTAGATTCAAGAAATTGACGTGGAAGATTTTGGTTTTCTAAACACAAGGTTTTAGAGCAAGGATCGTTCGTGGTCAAAGAACTAAAGTTATCATCCGAGTCAGCCTCCAGGTATTTTTCCTAATTGAGTTTTTGATGTATAAATTAATATGATTAATTTATTCGTGCATAAATTAATATAATCTATAGAGTATCTCAAAAGTTTTGTGAAAATTTTTGTTATACTTGATCCGCCCTCCACCATGCTTCCGCATCTGAATTCGATTCGGTTACCAACAGTCCCGGGGGTGTTCCGGGGTTGTTCTGGGGGTGCCCCGGGCATGCCCTGAGGGTGGCCCAGGGCTGTCCCAGCACTGCCCCAGGGGTGCCCCGGGGCTGTCACGAGGCTGCCCATGGCTGCTCCAAGGCTGTCCCGGGGGTGCCCCAGGGTGTCTCGGGAGTGCCCCGGGTGTGTCATGTTGGTATCCTGTGGCTGTCCCAGGGCTACCTCGGGGGTGCCCCGACGTTGCCCCGAGGGTACCCCGGGGTGCCCCGACAATGTCCCGAGGCTGCCCTGGGGATGTCCCGGGGGCGTCCCGGGGGTGCCCTGGGGGTGTTTCGGGGGTGTCCCAGGCGTGCCCCGGGGGTGCCCCGGCGGTGTCCCGGGGGTGCCCCGGGGCTCCCCCGGGGGTGGGCCGGGGATGTCCAGGGGCTGCCCCGGGGGTGTTTTGGGGGTTCCCCGGGGCTATCCCGGGGTGTCCCGGGGGTGCCCTGGGCTTGCTCCGGGGGTGCCCCGGGGATGTCCGGGGGTGCCCCGGTGGTGTCCCGGGTGTGCCATGGGGGTGCCCCAGGACTGTCCCGGGGCTGTTACGGGGGTGCCCCGGGGTTGCTCCGGGGGTGTCCCGGGACTATCCCGGGGGTGCCCCGGGGCTGTCCCGGGTGCGCCCCGGAGCTTCCCCGGGGCTGTCCCGGGTACGCCCCGGGGCTTCCTCGGGGATGGCCCAGGGCTGCCCTGGGGATGTCCCAAGGCTGTCCTGGGGATGCCCTGTGGCTGTCACGGGGCTGTTCCGGGCTGCCCGGGGCTGCCTTAAGGGTGCCGCGGGGGTGCTCTGGGGGTGTCCCGGGGCTGTGCGGGGGTGTTTTGGGGGTGCCCCAGGGCTACCCCAAAGGTGCCCTGGGGCTGCCCTGAGGCTGCCCCGGGCCTGCCCCAGGATTCCCCTGGGGGTGTCCCCCCGAGGCTGTCCCGGGGCCGCCCCAGGGCTGTCCCACGGCCGCCCCGGGGTTGCTCAGAGGGCCTGGGGCTGTCCCAGGGCTGCTTGGGGTTGTCTCGGGGCTGTCATGGGGATGCCTCATGGCTGTCACGGGGCTGTCCCGGGTTGCCCTATGGCTGTCTCGGGGATGCCCCGAGGGTGCGATAAGGGTGTCCCAGGGGTTCCCCGGGCTACCTCAAGGGTGTCCCGGGAGTGTCTCGGGGATGCCCCGGGCGTGCCGCGGTGCGAATTTCCTCTGTAGAAATATTTGTATTATAACTTTACACATTTCGGGAAATTTTGTCCCGTACATAAAGTTTCTACATAACATTTTCTTGATCAAGTCAAATTCTATTACGTATTATTTCGGATCGGATTACGGTCAAATGCCGGACTATCCGGATTAGACCTAAATTTTTCCCGGTAATTACATTAATAAAAGAGTTAGGTCAACTTCTAGAATTTTCATTCTTTATTGTGAGCAGTAACCTAGTCGGAGACTGCTGGGTATTGAGATGGTATATTGGCCACATCTTCTTCCTCCAATCTTCAATTTGCCTAAATGAGAAGGCGTTAGAAAGCTTATAAAAGGTTCTACAGATTTGTCTAAGCTAAAGGAATAATTTCATAATTTTAAAGGTCCAAAATAGAGCTGGAAATTAACGTTATGGAAATAGTTCTTTTGTCTAAAAAGAAAAGTCAAGAAAAAACTTAAAATTTTCTAAGACACTTAATTTCATGCATTATAACATGAAGTACATCATCTCATGAACATATATTCATTTATCAAATCATCAAAAAAAATGAACATATATATAATTTTTATAAAATGACATGAACTTGTTCTCGGCGTCTCGAGTCCTTGTCGCATTTATTGTAACAAATAACTCAACATGATGTTAGAATTAACTATATATAACACCATAACATTATTCAAGTAAATTCCTAACGTCTATTTCTAAGAATTTTATCGGTTTAGAAAAATGAGCGTTACATGCTCAACTAGTAGTTGTGCTCCATATCAGGAATACGTACATCCCATTGTGCCATACACATAGACTAGGTTTCTTTTTTTTTTTTTTTTTTTGGCTGAAAACTGAGGCTTTAGAAGTTGACTAATAAAATGAGTCTTGAGTCTGTAGTCATCAATTAAACAACGACACCTTTAAGATTGAATTACAATCAAATCTATTAGAAATAGATTTAGTATATACAACATATCAATACGCATACAAACCCATAAAGTTCACACATTGATACAAAGGTAGCTAAAAGGAGAGTAGGGGAGAATCCATTGTGGGAATTAGGGTGTACTATTGCAATGAACTCTATATGACCAAACGAGTTGTACTCAGATTTGAGTCATTTCTCCAGCTTCATTTGATCGATAAGGCTTTTACTATTTATCTTTTTATTCCGGTAAACTTGCTCCAAATAATCCTCGAAGATAATACTTTTGTAGTTAGGCCCGTTCTGTTTTACAAGACCTGGTACAGGACCGATAATGGTTTTGAAATCTGGACTAAGAAATGCACCAATTGAAAGACGATGCTTTTTCGAATTCACAACAACTCTGTGCTCTACGCTTTTGTATTCTCCGTTGGTCATAATCTGCATATTAGAAAAAAAAAAAAGATAATAATAATAATTAATAGTGGTGCCGAATTTTGTGAATATAACCTATTGGCTATACTATCAACCAATTAGGATTTTTGCCAGTTTTACTAAGATTCGTATGGACATATAATGTTGTTGTCTATGTACTGTAGTTAAAAATGTGTAGTGCTCAAGTTTACCAATGTTTGATTATAAATAATCATAAAATACTATCTGTAGTTGATTATTTGTTTTATGGTCTTGTTGTTGGAAAGTATCCTGAGATTGTTGGTCCTTATTGTGTTTGGTATAAGTGACTGAAGGACGGAAGCATAAATACCATAAGGGGAGTGCTGGGAAGGAAGTAAAGGATTTGAATTTTCTGAAAGTTGTTTGGTATGATCATAAAGAATGATGAAAATTGTTCACTTTCTTGTTTGGTATTAGAAATTAATGAGGAGGGAAGGTCCTAGTTCTGTATGCATTAACGTGTGTGAGGAAGAAGTTCTGCACAGGATGCGAATATTCAACAAAGTACCCAAAAATAAGCAGAGCCCCATTGGGGAGCTGATAGAAATATTTGAGGAATTATTTTAGGGAATAAGGGCATCACTTTAGAATTAGTTTATTTAGGATTTTTGTTCTTAGGTTTTAGGATTTTTGTTTCAAAGGCAGAAAATACTTCGAAGACCAGGAGTAAAAAATTGAAGATTGGAGATTAAGCTTGGAGAATTGTCACACCCCCGCATGAGTTTTTCTTTCTAATTTTCTTATCTTTTAGTTTTTGTGAATTGAGATGTTGGAATCCTCGATTCGTTTTATTTTTATTTCAATTATGTTTTAGTTTTCTTGCTAGAGCTATGATGTAACGTGATTATTATATTTATTCTTATTCAGTGTTTATTTTTCTAAGATTGAATATTCTAAAGTGTTCTTAATGCTTCTAATTAATTGGTCACAATTAAATGATTGGTTAATCTTAGTAGAACTAGAAGGAGAATTATGCGTCGAGTTCATTGTATTGAATACCATAGATTACATGTGAGATAAGAATATACTAAACATGGTTTGTATGGTCGCGACATGAAAATTCATGAAACTTAATGACTTCTTGATTGTTGTAATTCACACAGGAATATAGTGAGTTAGCAATTAAGGAAATTTTTTGTATAATCTGGAAGAGAACATTGAATAAATTATGAATTTTCAATTGTCAACTTGGATAATCAACTGTTTTTTTTAAGGGACTTGGATAATCAACTTGAGTAAGAAAAATAAGGAAATAAATTGGATTAGTTATGGTGAAATTGGTTGCTCTAGTGCTTTAATTATTTACTTATTTTATTTCTATTTATTTTTTCATTATTCTCTATTATTTGGTGTTTCAAATAATTTTAGGGTTAACTAATTTCGGTACTTAATTAAAATTAACGTAATTTTTGTAAGAATGATACTTTACTCTCATTTTATTACTTATTAACGATATTGTGCACTTGTAATTTTCACAATAAGTAGCATATTTCTAATTATAATAGTAACTCACCTCGATGAGGTCACCAATGTTGACGATAAATGCGCCCGGAACGGGTTTCACAGGCACCCATTTGCCATTTTTCTTGACTTGCAAACCTTGGACATCATTCACTTGGACTGCAAGTGACAAGCCATTCACGTCAGAATGTGGACTCAGACCCATTACCTTGTTAGCTTGCATACACGGTGGATAAAGATTTAGTCTCACTCCTTGGCTTCCCTCCTCAAACATACTAGTAAATGTCTCTGCGTCCAGCCCCAGATTCCTTGACATGAACTTTAATAAGCAGATTGTAAGTTTCTGCATTTCCAGCGAGTATTTGTCCAAGTTTTCTCTGAAGATTAGCAAATAATAAAAATAAAAATAAAAAATTAATCGTTACACCGCGAGGAACTCAATGCAAATTTATAGTCTAGGAAAGGGTTGGAGAACTATTCAGTGTATAGATTCACTAGCAGAAATTGTTGATATGTTGACGCTTAAAAAATACCAATTAAAATATTTCACGGCGCTTAAAAGAACATTGTGAAATCGAAAATCTTTTCATGAATGCGTGTGTGAAATTAGGACTGTTTATGGGTTGGGTTGGTGCGGGATAAGACTTTTTTTTCCGCACCAAATGGTGCGGATTGCACATATTTGATCCCAACGATGTTAGAAAAATTTCTCAACCCAATGATGTTTAGATTGGGTTGGGGCGGTGCGAGGTGAGTTGGGTAGTCGGTTTTAGCATTCAAAGAATCAAAGACTCAAAGTGCAATCCAACATTCAAACTTTATCATCAAATAGAAATAATAACTCCAGCATTCAAACAGATAGAAATTCAAAGTTCAATCCAACATCAAACATGAAGCAAAGTAGTCCATCCAACATCAAACATAAAGTAAACATATATTAGTCTACACTCATAAATTAGTTTTAACATAAAGCAAACGTAGAGGCTTAATTCAAATATGAAGAAACTAGAGAGTATAAATGAGCTGCCTACCTACAGTTAGATATTAGAGGAGGCAAGTTAAAGCACGGGTTGGGTTGGGGTGTGCGGGCCATTATAGACTTAACCCACACCCCGCCCCAAAACTTTGGGTCAGACATTGAATGGGCCGAAAAAAAATTTTAATACTAAAAATTGTATTTTTTAAGTTGAGTTGGGGTAAGGTGGGTTGGGCTGCGGATTTTGTGAATTTATGAATAGCCTTATGTGAAACGGGCAAAAAAGGGCTAGGGAGTGATGTCTAGTATCAGGCACCACTCACACGCACGCACGCACACAAAACAGGATCAAACCCACAACCTCCAATGCCAATTTTTGAAAATTGTGTTAACTGATATTAAGAATTTACCTAAAAGAGGTGGGATGAGTAGGCCAAAATCTCACATTTCTTTTGGTAATATGCCGAACATCAAGGAAGAGCCGATCTACCCAGTCAAGCTTTTGCTCTTCAGAGAAAACAAAGGCTTGCCCATAGCCTTCAAAGCCATTTGGCAGCTGTGCATAAGCTTTCTTTTTCTCAAGCGGTAGCTGAAAGAATTCCTCTGTGTCAATCTTCATTTTCTCAACGATTTCCTCTGGAACCCCATGATTTATTAACTGCCTCACCAAATTACCAACATCAATTTGTGTACCATTTGAGTAAGTTTGTAGTGGTGTACAAAGTTTTTATTTTCCCTTATCATTAGATCTATGGACAAAAAATAGAGAACATATTTGACAGTGTGTTAAGCTTCCGATCCGACAAGGTCAGATTCCTACAACAGAAAATGTGAAAATAGCATATTTGATGTTATATTTCTTTAGATCTATTTAAAACGCTCTATTTTTTTTTTTTTGGGTATGATAATTATTAAGCTTTGTGACTTGCAGAAGTACACTTCTAATATTAATAAAGTATTTCAGATAATAATATTATAACACAATTAAATGGAAAAAAAATCAATACATCAATCAATGGTAATTAAATAACAAAATTTGGCATATGCAATATCTTTTGCAAAATTTGATACTAAATATAGCGTATGCAAAAATTTAGCACTAAAATAATGGGATATGCTCCAAATAACACTGTATTGGATATAGCATCGGATATGCTCCTCGACTCTAGCTCAGTCTAAAACAAAGCTTAAATGATGTTATTTCGCCATCAGACTAATGTTTTATTTCCAATAAATGCATGATTTCACAAATCTAAAGTTTAATGAAAACGTAAGAAAGTAAATCGAGACGATATTGATCGATATGATGTGTACGGATTATACCTGAAAGAAGCCCCAGTCTCTACAAGCCGAATGTAGCCTTGCCAATTCATCACGGTGGCCAGAAGAATGCTGATCAAGAAGTTTGGTCATATCAATTACTGGAATTAGAAATGCATTGTCCACAACTTCTACCAGATCATTTTCGGTTTCACGAGGCTGGAGATAATAATGTGGGATTTCCTTCAATTTCTTTGAAGAAAGAGTTTCAACATTGTCGAGTACAACTGGGGCATTAACAGCAGAACCTGATCCATCGCCAATTTCTCTCCTAAGCTCCTCATGAGCCTCCATTTTCTCTAAACCAACAGATGTGAAATCAATGGCCAATTTCAATGGGAAACATATTTGGTTTTGCTTCAACTATTGGTGGCTGCAATTTCCACTAGCTAAATATGGTCTGGCCGCTATTCCATTATAGTTTGAGTGGGGACCCAAGCATGTTTTGCTTGTGGAAATTGCAACGTCAAACACATGCTTGGGTCCCCACTCAAATTTAAGATGCAATGGTACACTTGAGACAATCCACTAGCATCTGAATGTAGAGAGAGACCCACCATGACCTTGTTAGCATTCACATAAGGTGGATAAAAGTTGAGTCTTAATGATTGTCTTCCTTCCTCAAACACACTAGTTAGAGTCTCTGAATTGACTTCAATAGGCAGATTGTGAGTTTCTGCAGTTCCCATGAGTACTTGTCGATGCTTTCTCTGAAGATGTGGAGTGAATGAAAACACCAATCAACACATATTTAAAGAGGTGCGTTTGTTTCAAGAGTTCTGCATGGTTCAAACCATAGTTGTTGGTTCTGCTATAGTATTTTTCTCTCACAAAAATTCTGAATTTCAAAAGTCGGAACCAAAATTGTTAGGGATTTTGTTAGTTGGCAATTTTTTGGAAATGAGTTGTACAAAATTCAAAAACAGGGTCAAGTTCATGATTCATGAAGAATCAGATTTTGTGGCGATTTTAATCTGTTAATTGCTTCGGATTTGGAAAGTTTTTTTAACATGGAAAGTAGAATTGGGCAAGTTTATTTTAGAGACATTTGTGGAGATATTTGCAAAGATATGATTGTTACATGAAATTATGGAGATTCATGCATATTTGGGATATGATCTATTTGAGAAAATAAAAGATAATTTTGGTATGATTGAAATATTTAAATTAGAAGATTTTAGAGATATTATGAGAGATAATTACATATCCTTAGAGTCCAAATTGTATTGGACTTTCCAAAGAAAAAAAAGGCAGATGAATACATTTATATACACACACACACATGTTGGGCATTAACGTGTAAAAAAAAAAAAAGAGAGTGGCCTATGCTTTTAGTCGTGGCTTGTGTGACCTTGAAAAAGAAAATATTGGGTAATCAAATGAGACATTTGGGGTATAATTTTTATAGAAAAAATATTTAAAAAAGTCGGGAGAGTCAACCTTTTAAGTGTTGATTGAAAGATCATCTTTTAAGAGAATGATTAGGAGCTTTAAAAAAAAAAAAAAAAACCCGCAAAATCAGCCGATGAAAAAATGTAAAACTGAAAATGAAATAGAGAATAAAAAGAAGGAGAAAGAGAAAAGAAGAAAAATCTTTTCTAAGCTGGAGCAGACTTTAACGCAGAAGTACTTTTGTTATAAGAAACTTTTAATAACAGCCATGCATAAAAAATATTAATAATTGCTATAAAAAAAAAAAAGAAGAAGCTTCTCGTACGTGTTCCCTTTCTCTCTCTCTCTCTCTCTCTCTCTCTCTCTCTCTCTCTCTCTCAACTTAGTAAATGAAGGCAAAACATGATAAATCAGAAATGATGTGTTATTTCTTATTTGCATGTGGACAATGTCGGATGAGTACGGCTTCTGTACTATTATGGTATGACCACATGAGTTATCTTATCATGGTGGCTTTCAATTCTCATTAGGTTCCACTCGATTTCTTGTTTCCCTGTTTTTCTTTTTTCTTTTTTTTTTCTTATTATTGTTATTTTTTTCTTAAGCGAACGAGGGATTTTTTTTTTTGAATTTTTATAATAGATTCTGAAAAAACTGTTAATTTTTTTTATAAAAAAATACAAAGAATTTCAGAGCAATGCAATACATATCTCTCAAACCAATGGCCTATTTGTTAGAGGGATGAATAGAAACAAAGCCACAAAAATTTTCAAGTGAAGCTTGAGTTAAACTAAACAGGCCCCGTTCACTTCACGGATTCGAGTTTTTAATTCTAGTTGAGATGTGATATTTTCTTAAAGCTTTTTACTGTAACAGAAAAAATTAAATGTGATATTTTCTGAGAGCTTTTTATTGTGTAAATCTAAAATTGAAAACTCGAATCGATGAAATGACACTACAACAATAAAGGCCATTTGCGACAACATTATTTGCAACGACATATGTCGTCGCAATTACTCCCCGTTAAATGAAATAAGCATGTCGTCGCTAATAAGTTCAATGTCGTCGCAAATAGTTTTGGTGCGCAATTTTTAATGGCGCGGATTTTTACCGCCAAAGGGAATCTATTTTTTTCGACGACTTGTCGTCTTATGTTGTCACAAATATCTTATTATTTACAACGACATGTGTCGTCGCAAATAATATCACTCTATTTGCGACGGCATTTTCTCTTTGTCATCGCAAATAAGCTTTAACAGATTTGACCAAGAACTAAACGCGGGGGAAATGATTATTTGCGACGACACTATGTCGTCGCAAATAATTTCCAGCTGTGGGTTATTTGCGATGACATTTTAAATTTATTTGTAACGACAATGTCGTCGCAAATAAGTCTGATCTGATATACCCTAGCTTCTTTCTATTCATTTTCCCCCGATGGTTTCAGTCTCTCTCTCTCCTGCTAAGTCTCTTTCTCTGCCTCTTCTTCCCCTCACCGCCGCCGCTGGCCGTCTTCTCTCTCTCTCTTCCCTTCTCTTTTGTAAAATTTGGTTTTGTTTGGTTACTTACATTGATTCGAAGAATGTTAGGGATTTTTGTTAGCGATTGTTGTTACTTGCCGAGAAAATGAAAGAAGGAAATAGAAAATAGAAAATGTTAGGGATTTTTGTTCGAGTTTAATCATTTTTTATGGTTCGAAGAATGTGAAAATTTAAACTTGCATTGATTAATCAAGAATTGTGTCTATATGTTACTCCTGATGTTAATAAAATGTTAATTTCGGTGTTTGAAAATTATGTTTGATGTTTCAATTTGAAGTAGGCGTTTGATTTTTTGCCTTCGTCGTTGTTTGCCCGGTTCCTCCGACGTAATCCCGCTATTTTCAACCCCCGTTTAGTGGGTTTGAACTTTGTAAGTTTTTTTATATTTATTTAGTTTAAAATTATTGTAGTTTTTAGTTGTATGAATTCGGGATTATGATGACAAAATTTGAATTATGATTTTCTTATATTGTTGAAATTTAGTATATGTTTATGATTCTTGTTTTGGGTGGCACATCTTGCAGCTATGGTGTGCCGAAATCTTTTAAAGTTATTTTTATGCAGGTTTTGATTTTTAGATTATATGAAAAATAAGTCGTTATGCTGCAGAAATTTAGTTAGAAAACGAGAATTTTAATAAGTTCATTAACAAACTTTAATTAATAAATTTTAATTGTGTTAATAAAGAGTAAAATTAAAATTAATTAAACACATTAATAAATTTGTATGTCTGTTGTTGTTTATAGTTGAAATGCTGATTGACAAAAGTTAGATTTGTTTAAAGAACCAATTGTCGGATGAATATTGGAATGGGTTATCTGCTATTATTGAGGTCGCCAAAAATTATGCAACTTCAATTGGCCATATCAGCTGTCCTTGTGTGAAATGTAGAAACCATGAAATGCATCTAGTAGAAACTGTGAGAGTGCATAGACATCGATTTGGTTTTAATCCATTATATAGTACATGGATTCACCATGGTGAAGTAGAAGCGGTTTCAGGTGTCGACCCAATAGTTAATCAACCAGTAGACGAGATGTTTGCAGTCTTAGAAGACGTTGCTGGGATTAATGATGACCATGAAATGTTAGATGAGACGCATGTGGATCTAGAAGATGCACAGTGTGCTGAATTTAATGATCTACTTTCTAAGCTCCAGGTGGGATTGTATCCGGGCTGCACTAAGTATTCATCTTTAAATTTCTTAGTGAAATTGATGCATTTAAAAGTGCTATACAAGTGGCCTAATGAGTGTATGGATGCTCTGTTAAATCTATTGAAAGATGCATTCCCGGATGTGAAGTTACCTTCTTCTCATTATGAGTCGAAGAAGCTCATGAGTAAACTTGGACTGGGTTACGAAACAATTCATGTCTGCAAGTATGATTGTGCTTTGTTTTGGAAGGAGAATGTTAATCTACAAACGTGTCCCGTATGTAAAACATCCCGTTGGAAGAAAAAAAAGACAAAGGGTACTAAACAAGTGCCGTGGAGATCGGTTGAAGCGTCTGTACGATGCTGGTGTTTTTTTATGCAATAATTTGTATAGTTTATACTAAAGTTAACAATGCATTTTAACGATGTGAAACTGTTTTGCAATGACTGGTTTAACATGGACTACAACTATAAGAACGGTATTCTGATGTCCTTTGTTGATAGGGAGGCAACAAAGTGCTACAAGGACTGGAAAAGTTCCATGCACCGCCACTTCAAACGCTATGGTAGAAAAAGTCTCCCGAGTAACATGATGTCATGCCCCCCAAACAGGGTGGGTGACGTGGAGCTCGATTAGGGATTAATAAAGCAGATTCCCAGACCGGGCCCCACACTTAACTGCATTAAAACATAAATGAATTACATAATCCAGGAGCCTCTGGCACACAGGGCTCCACCCCACAGGACATACAGTATCGTACATACATGCTCATGTAATTAATCATTACAACAGACATCAACCATAGTCTAGTAAATCCAAATATTACATAAGTTTACAGAATTCTCAAATTCCTTACATTTGTCCAAGAGGATGTTCACGATCCTCACTTGATTCCAACAGCAGCACAACTCAGCTGCTCCGTAACAAATATCCAGCTACTGTGCACCGCTCCTCGAGTCTCCTGGGAGGGGTTTAACATTTAAAAAACGTGAGCGCCCAGTAGGATATAATTTGAAATATTTAGAATAAATGAGCGCATGAATAAATAATTGAATACATAAATAAAATAAGACATTCAGTCCCGACAGACCTCACATCCCTCAAAGGAAATATAACTGAAAATAACCGTTTTACAGGCTTCAACAAGTAATTAGTACAAATTACTTACCTTACCAAGTGTCTCGCCTACCCGGACCGAGTTTCGGGTTCTTCCCCCTAGGATGCACTCTCCGCATCCTATCTAGGCTTACAGCAATAGACTCTATTACCAGTTCACAAGATC